TAGGGAACATACTCATTTTGCATTCATTTTCCACATGTGACACCTTTTCATTTTCAGAACCTTATTCAATCAGGGAAGATGAGAATAGAGGTAAGAGACACTCCTTCATTCATATCCCATCACCCATTCTTATGCACACAGCTGATCCAAGGAATCCATCCAGAACAAGCCCTACCTGTGGTATCTCCACTGTCTCCCCAAAAGACTCTTACTCTATGATCTTACTGGTGAGCATTTCCAGGAGTCATTGTAAAAATTTCTTTGTGCAGACTCTCCCACTGCTACTACTCATGCTGTCCTGAGAACCCCATCCCAAACTCGTGCATACAACACTCAAGCGATCACCTCCCACCATCACTTAGCTATACCACTATGGCTGAGATTAGAAAGCTAGCATCTGCTCACTACTGATTATTTTTATTCCAATGATCCCTGATAGGTACACAGATTCACCCTTGACTTAAAACAGGGTTTGACAGGGCAACCCACTAGTCAGCATATACGATGCTGCTTCTGTGTCAGATCAGCACACATGCCATTTGCCTTTAAATCAGTCCATTAGCTCAGGCAACAGAGCTACATGCTGCAGCTCCCATTCTCCAGCCATGACGCCGGCCTAGAATAGTAGTTCCCCCATCAGCAGGGTGTCATGCAAGTCTGCATGGTGACAACAGAGCCATGTTGAACTGCTGTAAACCCACCTCACAAGCCCTCTGCCTTTGCTCAAAGATCAGTCCCGTTGGCATGCTCTCCACTTACGCCAGTTTTACCACAAAACCACTCCATTTGCAAATGTCCAAGCCCCTGACAAGATTCTCAGGAGTAGGTCACATCAGAATACAGACTATTTCTAATTGACTGAAGATACAATACTTCTATACAAAAAATTGGCTTTTTTTGGTCTTCCTGCCCTTTTGCAAGCTCTTGCCTAATTTGTCAGCTTGTCACATTCCTCTCTAGGTACCTCTGTATTTCCAGTTCCTATTTCCCCCATGTGTTCTGCACTGATCCAAACTGTATGTAATTACTTCTTGCCTACACTAGAGATCCATCTTGCGCCTGATGGAAGAACTGAAAGTCTTACCACTGAATTCGAGAGCAGCAAGGTTAGGACTAGGCCCCCTGGGAAGGTTCCCTCACTATCATTTTCTCTTCTGTTTGAATTCAACTGCAAGTTCCCAGGTGTGATGCTGGCCCCAACGGAGAAAGTTTCAGGATCCCCCTTTGCACTCCCCTCTGCTCTGACACTCCACCTTGCCTCTGTATTTCAGCAAAGTATATAGTTTTTAAAATGTAACCAGGATGTAGCTACACTGGAATTAAATTTGTTCCTGAAGTAACCTTATTAAATCCTCTGGGCTCCAGCAAAGACAACTTAGGTGCATTACATTCCCCAAATCCCTTTTGCTTTTAAATACCTTGATTTGGTACCTCGTAACTAATGGAAATGGGCATTTAACTCTCCTTTTAATACTGCCCAGTTTCACCAGCTCCTTTATTTTTATGCACATCATTCTCTGCATTTCTCTCTTTTATCATTGCTCTCTTTCTCTCATTAGCATTTCCTCTCTATCCCTTTCTTCCCATTTCTGCCTTTTTTTCACTCCCTCTTTCTGTCACTTTAAAATTAAATATTGCCCAGCACTTCCCATGTGGGTGAAGTGAATGCTAAGAGGGAAGGCTGCTGTGGAGACTGGATTCAAGCTGCCTCGCTGGGAATCAATGAGGCATGGAAGGCTCGTCTAGCTCCCAAAAAGCTGAAAGAAACCAGGGTGTATCAATGGCAGCTGAACACAACCTTGAGAAAAAAGAAGAGGGCCCACCTCCGAGCACCTGCCTCAGCCTGAGAGACACCACACAAACTGGTCCAGGGCTGTGGTCATTTAATGGGGGCTAACCTCAGGATGGCTTTCCTTGGTTTCTGCCAAGGGGAGATTGCCAGATGGAGGCCCACGGAGCAGCAGGGGTCTTCAAGGAGCAGCCAGCCTGCCCTGCTCCATCTGTCCACTGAGCTATCAAACACAGCTGGTACCAGCCATGCTACAAGGATGCAGCACAGAGAAGGAGCACCTTGCAGGTCAGGGGCTGACATTAACCCTGCCATTAAACTTCAGGGAAATATTAGTTGTCATCCTTGACTAGACAATACCTAGGCCCTAAACCGAAACATAGGCAGACCCACCCCATCCAAATCTGCCCGTAATACACTCACTAGGTGCAAATACTTCACTTACACCATCACGTTACCCTCCTCACCACACAGTCACACATCCCAGAACACCCCAAAACACACATCCACACTGCTTCCATTCTTCAAGCCTCCTGTCTTCCTCTCCCTCACACCCACCTTCTCTCCCATTGCCTTTGTACATTGTTGCCTCCTGCATCCCTCTCATCATGTCAGTTGTGATCACTGAAATGCCTCTCCTCAATCTGGGCTGAGTGTGAGGGGACCTCTTCCTGGAAGGGGCAAGATGCAAAGTAGCAGAATGCCCTCTCTAAATACTGTGGTTACTTCCCTTATATCTAATGAACACAGGCACCCACCTCTGATCTCAGTTCTGTAGGCTGCTGAGGGTTAATGGTGACACAGACTCCTGGGCTACTGCATTACTTGACTGCAAGCACCAAAAGTGATTTATGTTATTATTTTCTTTGGGGGTTAATTAGGGGCTTGAGAAAGTAAAAGGCTGTCAGTGCTAGCTGGAATTGGTCTAGTGCAGCCAGGGGAGAGCAGTCGTCCCTCACAGAGCCCTGCTAATATATCTTTGTCCTGAACATCAATATCTCCAGCTCCCACCCCTCAGTGTGGCAGACAGCCCTCCATCATGACCTCCAGCAACCCTGTTAAGTCTTGACATAACCTCTGGGGTACACTGCTCAATTGAGCCCTGCCATTTCCACCTGGCTGCCCTCACACCCTTAATCCTCTGTTATCTTCTCCTTTCCTAAGCTTGCCAATAATGGCCATCAATGGACAGGGAAAATTCACACGGCATTCTCCCAGGGGCAAGGAGGAGATATGTCCCCTTGGTATCTCTTGCAGCTGAGAACCACCTCCTTGCTCCCGTCTTCCTCCTTCTAGCTGCCCAGGGCTTGCTGAGGCCTGAGAAGGCAACACAGGCTATGACAGCCCCTACCTCTTTGCCCAGATCCTCACGGATGACTTGCTCAATCTCCTGCCTGGTGCTCTGTGGGGCCTGGCTGTGCAGCACTTTGAGGGTGCGGGTGTACTCCTCAGGCAGCAGGTAGTCAAGCGCTCCCAGGTGCTGTCCCACCTTGATGAAGGTGCCTCGGTTGGCACAGCACAGCTTCCGGAGGCGCTCAGCAGAGCGCAGGTGCACCTGCGGAGAGACCAGAATATCAGCCAAGCCCTTTTTCTGTCTGTTACATGCACATGCCCACATACGTACCTTTCATTTCTTCAGCATTTAAACAGACCAGGGATTTCCTTTGTTGATTTTGGGCATCATGATCTAATGTGTCAGCTAAGCATTAGGATGCTGGCTTGACTTAGAGGGGCCGAACCAGACCAGGACAAGATGCTCCAGAGTATAAGGGGCTTTGACACTTGTTTGCACAGACACCATGATCAGTGACAGCACATTAGTTTTTGGTTCTGTCCAAGGCTACATTATTGCAGAATAACATATCTAGCCATAGGGCAGCACTGGTTTGTCACTTTGATCCACTGCTACAATGCGCAGTTTGGGAACCCCTCGTCAAGGCAATAGTCAAGACCACAACCATGTATGTTAGACTCTTAGCGTGGGTGCAATGAATTAAAGTGAGAAGAAAACTACAGAAACATCCCAGAAACTTCCAGGAACTTGGAAGAAGAGTCTGTTAAAAATCAAAAATATGGATGTCTATTTGGCAGTTAGGAAGACCGTACATGGGCAGTCCCGCGTCCTCCTCAGCTCACTCAGACACACCACAAGGGGAAACTACAACCCTCCAGTCCAGCCAGGTCTTGGTCTTACTGCTTACATTGTCAACAAAGTCTGCAGTGACAGTGGTTTTTAAGAATTGGAAGACTTGCCAGCTTTGCTCACATTGCCTGGTCTGGATTTCAGCTCCTGAGGTTCATTCTGCCTCTCCAGAACAGACTAGCCACCACATCCTTCTCTGACAGTGATTTATTCTGCCTTTATAACTCTCACTAGAAAAGCCTCCTGCCAAGGACACAGCTATACTCAATATTCTTTAATAAACTTCAGATAAGTTTACCCTGATATATTAATAAGATCTAAGCAAATCAATGACAAAAAATAACTCTGCAGCCGTCTCCTGTTAAGGCCTGACACCTGTCTGCATGGAGGCTCCTAATTCCTCTAGAAGTCGTTGAAGGTCAAATCCTGTGTCTGCAGACCTCATCTGCCCAAGATCCTGTGGTGAGGGACTCCACCAAAAGCCTCAAAGTATGCGGCAAAAAGGAGCAACACCACAAACAAGCATGAACACCACACACACTCACCCCATTTAGTGGCCATCTTTGCCCTCCATGCAAAGCAGTGCCATGTCACATCACGGGACAGGGCGAGTGTCTCACATTTGGGAATGTCAGGGGACAGACTGAGTGCCAAGCTGCAAGCGCACAAAACACAGGCCTAGGGGAGTGTGAGGAGAAAGCCTAATGTGCAAGTCTCACACTCAGCATGTGAGACTTGACAGCTTGATGCACACATGCACACACACACTTTCCTAGGTGGGCGCGCATGGGCAAGCATAACTCATGCTAGGAGAGTGAGTTTCCCCCAGCATATTGCCTGCTCAAAAGCACTTGCAAATACATAGGCAGAAAATAACATCCACAAGCGTGCCTGAAGTCTCCCACATTTCTGCGCTGCATTTTACATACCAGCTTTAAAGCTCCTGCTGTAACAAGCAAGCCTCTGCCTTGGCTGTTTCCCTGCACTCCTTCCCTGTGTGCAGCAGGCACAAAAGCAGGCCAAAAGGGGACAAGGAAAGGAAGCTGTCAAAGAGGACAAGAGAGCAAGAAAAGCAGTGAGGGAGTAATGGGATGAAAGAGAAAGGCAGTGGGAGGGAGGGAGCCAGAGCAGCTGGGTAGTTTGTTGCAGCACCAGGAGTGCAGCCCATTACAGGGAAACAGCTTTCATGCAGCTCCGATAATCGCCCTCTGCCCGCTGCCTCCAGCTGTGGAGGAAACCCCCTGCCAGCAGCAAAGGGAAAAGGGAGCAGTGGCTGGCCCGGCCACCCCCCTTCACGCAACCAGACAGCCACTCCAAGGCACCTACCCGCCACACACAGATCACCAAGGGAGATGGAGAAAACAGGATGGAAAACTCACGTAGCTGAAAATGCAACTGGTTGTAGATATACTTGGATGCAAGCCATATCTTCATGTTGGTCACTGCTGCGAAGAAGGCAGAAATAGCCCCTACCCTCTAGCACACAAAGAAAGGAAATTTTGGCCCTCCCAAACTTACCCACTCTGTAGAGAACCTGGAGTGCCTCATGGACACAGCAGTCTTGGCCAAGAGAGATGAGAGCATCCTTACAGAGGGCTCCAGGAACAGAAGAGAACAAACCTCCCATGCACAGCATACCTCCAGCATACTCTCACAACTGGCTTGGCTAAAACTCCTACGAGACAGCTACCCTGGCTGGCTGGCCAGACCATGGACTGCCAGCTCCTGACCCTGCTAGAGGGACAGAAGATGACCAGGCAACTTGTCTCAGAAGAGGGAAATCTATCTATAGCACTACATTTTACAAAACTCCAGTCCGCATTAGAGGCAGAAGTACAGTGAGAATGAAGCAGGACTGTGAATACAGCTTCCAAGGTCTCTTTTCTTATCAACCTGGTCAGGATTCTTAGCAGAAAAATGTTCATAATGGTATCTATTAATTGCCTGGCTCTCCCCAAGCTAGGTCACAGTCCAGATGCAGCACTTGTTTCTCTGATAGATGACCTGCTAATCCAATCTACTACTACAGAGTAAGAGTGCCACATTCCTACTGCTGTGGTCTGACACCGTTGACCTGCGTTTCTGTCCTGCCTTGAAGAAACCACAGGGTAAAAGGAAACCTCCAGAATGGCTCAGAGCTTTTCTCCAAGAAATCTCACAAGATATTGCTCTTTGTTGCACAAGCAATACCTTTAAGATTCTTCTTATCAGGGAAAAGAGCTGGGGACAACAGCTAGTTAGACAGGGAGCCGCTTGTATGCATCATGCCTAGGAGCACACTGCAGAGAAAGGAAGCATTTCAGGTACTAAGGATTACAAAGAATAAGCCTCCCTCAGGAAGCACTTCAGATCACAAATGCTGTCTAAGTGTGTAGTATATGGTTCTTCCCTCAGTCCACACGGGCATCTCTTTCTGTCTCAAACCCCTTCCCCAAATTTCAGCAGAACAAATTCTCCATTGGCCCACAGCATGTCTATCAAACTCATGGTTTACCTAAGCCCTAGGTAGATTTGGATTAACGCTGATTATTAAAGTTGTTACATATGGGCCATAATGGAAGTAATAACTGTCAGGTATGGAGAGGAGGCACCTCTGGGATGAAGCACATACACAGCAAGCAGAGTTGCAAAGAGACATTTTTTAATGTCTCTTGATGTACAAGCAGACATAGCTTCTCAAGTAATTTTGATGCTTTTGAAGGAGCCTTTACTCACGGAGACCTTAGCAAAGAACTGCTCTTCAGAGCAACAGACGTGCAAGATGTCACAAATTGTCAAATACTTATCTGGTCTTAAAAATAAAGGAATTAATTTAGCAGAAAGTAAATGCCAAAGTTAAAATACACCAGCGAAAACTTGAGTATCTGGTGTCTGATGACAGACCTGGTGAAAAAAGGGCTCAAAAAGGCCACTAAAGACCATAAAGTAAGTGGTGGAAGCCACTCCTCATATGAAAAATCCTTCAGAAAAGTCATTCCATTCCTGAAGGGCATACTCACAGCTGGCAAAACGTGAAATGAGGATTAGGAATGCAGAGAGAAAATTTGAAATGCAATTAGTCAAAGACATAACAAACAAGTCACCAGAAATTCCTGGTGATGAGCGCTGCCTCCAGGAACACTGCAAACACAGACACCTCACAAAGGAGGTCAGGCTGGATTTTGCCCAGAGGACGGGGCTAGAAGGGCTGCTCCTCCTCTAGCCTCCCATACTGGAGAGCACTCTTGTACAGGTGAGCAGGAACAGCTCCATGTCACATGGTACCCACTCGCATCCCACCTTCTCCCGACCTTAGCAAGGGAAAGGAGGTGCCTTCTCCTGCTGCAGGCAATTCCCTGCATGGGTCAGGATGCTGACAAGTCTGCCCATCACTGCTTACAATAGAGATACACTCTCCAAGACAGTATTTCAGAAAAGACGTCTCCAGAAAATACCTTGAAAACTTCAACCGTATAAAACTTACAGATGAATTCAAAAAGTAGCTGAGATGCTAATAATCATAATAAAAGGGGGATCACACATTAAAACCGTTAGCTTCCAGAGGACTGAAGGGGAACAAATGTTGCCCTGGATTTAAGAAAAATCTGGAGTAATCTGGGAAATTATAGTCTTGCAAGCTTTTATTCTGTATCAACTAAATTAGTTGAGACAATAATTATAGAGAGTACTGAAAATCATCTAGCTAAATGTGATGTGACTGAAAAAAGCCAACAGGGATTATGAGAGGGAAAAAAAAAAAAAAAATCACTCTTTACCAGTCCACTAAAATACTCTGGGCATGTTAATACAATGGTCAATAGAAGAGAAAAGGGAGATATTTATTGGGACTTTCAAGTGCCTTTCAATAAATTCCCTCACAAAGAGTGAAAAGAAAAATGAGTAATTATTGGAGAAAATGCAAGAATGCTCCTTTACATTACTTGCTCATTTTAGCTAATTCCCATCTCAGAATTCCCTCTTTGCAACACCAAACCCAGCACTACAGACAGCAGCAGTGGGGGGCTCTCTAGTTAGGACAAGGCTGCAACTTCCAGTGATGTTTTTATCACAGCTTCATTTCAACCTGCTTTCAATTCTTTTAGACGAGGTGATACTGTAGAAGCCCTGTTGACATTAGCACCTGCGATGTTGTTACTTCCAGGGAGGCTGAACTAGCACTGGAGACACTGAGAAATGTAATGAAAAGGGAAACAGGTACAGGTAGCACCCACAAGGCAGAAGGGGCTCTCTACTATAAATGCGTTGACCCACATCCCTGTCAAAAACAAGCAGCAGAGTGTCCCATTACACCTATTTTTACACTGAAGTTTAATTTCCCTGCTAGTGATTGGGCAAGGGAGAGAATGGTGCAGTCAAAAATTCCATGAGATGCAACAGAAATTATTCACCACTACAGAAAAGTAAGTCCTGCA